CGATGAAAGATCCATACTGCATACAGCATACTTATGATAAAAACATTCCATGATGAGAAAATCGCCGCATAAAATTATATTTTCATTATCAGAAAAGTTAGATCCTTACAGCTAATGCTAACCGTCTTGCTAATTACCAGAGTTTCTACAAACATTTCTGGTTAATTTGTTTTCCTCACCTTCCAGCCTAGAAGACAGAAGAGTTCCTGCCAATTGTGTTTTAAGCTTTTTTTTTTTTTTACTTTTTTATCCAGATTTTCCAGTGCAGATCACATCACATACATCTTACAGATAGTACATTTTACAGATTACATTTATAGATTCACATGTTATGTTTCAGAGAATGTTTTGTGTGTCAAAGGTTTTAAAGAGACAGATAATAATACTAATACAGTAAAGATGAAAAAAAAAACATAAGCAGGAAACGCCCATTTATCAAATGTAATTTCCATCAGATGTGGTTCAAAATGAATGTTTGAATTGGAGACCATTTTTCTAAGAAGATGTCACTTTTCATCTGAAGAGCCCTCAAAGCGCCACAAGCGCACCCTCTCAGCTGCTCATAAAATCTGGCTGCTGATGGTAAAGTCCACATGCAATGTTTGGCTCTGTAACCAATGAAATTACCTGTAAGCATGGCTAATTTCAGTATGCTGACCCTGCTGGATCCCGGTTAGTAAAAGTCCCAAAGGCACGTCAAAGACTGTTAGACAATTAGATGGAAAGTTAGAAAAATGAAAAAATATTTGCTTTAAAATGTTTTGCGGCCATCGTAATGCTTTGATTTGAAGTTTGATTTGAGGGGTAAAATTGTTCTGTAAAAGCAATAAGCACAATTTGGAATAATTGGGCACATTTTGGACAAGTTTGTAGACGCTGATGACTCCCGAAGTTAAAGGAATAGTACACCCAAAACTTGATTAGCCTTCATTTTCTACTCACCCCCATGCTGAACAACACTCTGGAGTACTTTTTTGATATCTCAAATGCATCTGGAGACTGGGAGGCTTCTTGCTGTCTGCTGACATTCAAATAATGGAGGTCTATGGCGCCCGAGACAGAAAGGTCCATAAAAGTCCACAAAAAACGTGTCAATATTCCTCTATACTGTTCGTCCAATGTATTCCAAGTGTCCTGAGTGGGTAGCGTCCAGAATTTACTCGAAACGAAGTCATTTAGAATGTTTTAGAGCATAAACAGTAGTGTATAGGATTTCCTAAAAATGCGTTCACGAGTCTACAGAAACCGCGGCAGACCAAACCAGATGAAAGTGCGCATTCAGCGTCTGCTCTGCCGATAATGCAAGCGTAGAAGAAGAAGGAAACAACGAAAGAAAAATGTCTGAGGACTTCAGTGTTGAAGGAAGAGCATGAGTTCTTTGCCGAGCTGTTTGAACTGATGCAGTTTACGCTGTGTTTTAGTCACACCATCCATTTATGTTTTCAGAAATTAGAAGGTGTTAGCTTTCAAATGATGTATTACAGATGTAATTTGGGCTTAGAGTTCCTAGGTTATTTGCTTTTCTATTTGGGTATGCAAAAAGGGGAGGATTACTTAATTAAGGGAGTGTTTTATACAACCTGAAGGATGAGCAAATGAGAAAAGACTAGATATTTGGAGCCAAAACTCCAAAGGATCCAGAGATTGAATGGGTTCAGATGAGGAATGAGTAAAGTTTTACTTTAAGTAAATGCTAAGGAGTACCTTACCGCAGAGCAGGATGTCGCCATTTTAACAATCAATGCCAGAGGTCCACAGTGGAAGTTCCTATCAGCAAGAATTTAATGAAGTCGTATTAAATCCACTTACCCTAGGTTTAGGTTTCTCATCCAAATATGTTAGGTTCAGTGTAAGCCCTAAGGAACGGGGGAAAGCAGTAGATGTTAAATTAGGTGAAGGTATTAAGTGCACGGACCTTAGGTTTAGTTTTTTTCTCCAGATGTTTTTTTTTTTTATTATGTTTGACACATTTTTATTGTAAAACATATATAGACAATCAAGTAAACAAAAAATGATGACTGGATACCTTGGCAAACAGCAGCCAGGGGTCATTTGTGTATAAAAGCCTGAAATGTTAGTATAAATTAAAATGAAATACAAAAAAAATGCAGAAAAGATTTACGTAAAAATTCAGCTGAACTATCCAGCTTCCAGTGTGCAATTTCTGTATAGATGGTAAAAATGGTGGGACCTTGGCTCTGCAGTGGGGAGTCTATGGGGAAAAGACTAAGGGCTGTTCTGTTGGACAAAGCAGGAGCGAAAACAGAAATGCTAAGATGGATTTTATTTCAAACAGTCATTTACTAACATAGATTTTTCTTTTCCTCTTTTCAGTTCAGATGTTCCTAAATTAGGATTAAAAAAAATGTGAGGTAGATTAAGATTTAAGGCTTTATTTTATATCTTTACCAGAAGTCTCAATAAATAACATTAGTACTGCATAAAGAATACTTTGGACTGATTAAAATTCATGGACCTGAGCCACTTTAAAACTTTACGTTAATGCAAGAGTCGTATTTCCATGCCTATCTTTACTTGCCTTTGGATGTCGATGGCGCCATAATCAATCATTTGCATATAGGAGCCTTGTTTATTGCTTGATATGGCAATAAAAACAACAGCCGGGGCAGAAGCACTTCACCAGCCGTTACACTGAGGCTCTCGTTGGAGAAAGTGAGAGAATAAAGTAGGTTTTATTAGGTGGCCTCAGCTGTGAAATCCCAGACAGACGAATGGAAACTACACGCCTGTGGCCGCAGTATATAAAAAAACACAATATCACCGTTCTCACGCATGGCTTCAACTATTCATAGCATATTAGAAATAAAATGTAAATAGATTTAGAAAGAAGAATTAATAGCCTTATAAGATATTTCACCAACTCAATTAGTAATAACTGTATTGTATATGGAAGCCTGTAGTGTGAGAGCATCATATAAAAAATTATACAGTTAATAAGAAATGCAGAGTCTGTGAAATTAGCTGTTTTATATTATGGTAAATTCTGTCGCTACATATTTTTCATTTTAACTCTCACATCTCAAGCTTGAATGCTCTAAAAAATGTGTGTACATGATTCAGTTTATATTAGATAGGCGACGTTGTCACAACACATTTGTCTGCGTCACATAGAAATGCCAGATTATGAGGTTGGTGCATAGGGAAAGGTTAAATCACATGCCAGGCATAAAGAAATCCAAAAGGGGAGAGATAGAAAAGAAAATCATGCCAAGAGGTTTTGGTGGGATCAGTTGCCATCCAATCAAGTTCTAGCTCTGAATGTCCTGGAGCATAAGAGGACTGAGGCTGATATTACTCACTTTCATTCTATTCATCTACAGCTAAAAATTAATTTATTAAAAACTATATTTGAAGCAGAAATGTGAGGCCTGCTGAAAAGTATTGCATGTTCCTGTATTGTACAGTATGCAGTATTCACAGGGACCTTGTTTTGCATGAAATACTGCACTAAAGCAGCTTGGAATGATGATAATTAGCCTCTGGTTGTGTTAAGGTCTCATGGAAGCAAAGTTCACTCTGATAGTGACCTTCAGCTCCTCTGAATTGTTGGGTGGGATGTCTCTTATCATCTTCTTGACACCAGAGTTGCTCTGAGGGGTTTATGTCAAACCAGATTGCTGGCATATAAACCCCAGTTAGACTGTTATCAAATGGAACATTGAACAACAATCCACTTCTGACAGTGTTCCTGGTTCAAAACTTACTTGTAACCTTTGTTTCTGGGGTAGAACCGCTACTGCAGCCAAAGCTGTGCAAGACTGTTAAAATCCCCCAATGAGCTTCACTCTGCAAATGCTGCAGTTTTCTCTATTTGTTTTCCTTTCAGTCAAAATTCCATTGAGGGCGTTGTCACATGTTATGCATTTACAAATTCATATTCCAGCATCTTACTCTTAATTTGACATTAAGTCTTATTACATTTTCTGTGTCTATTATTCTTTTTTTTTTGGCTCAATTTGTTTGTAAACTCGACCCTTTTCTGTATTTACCATAAGAATACCAGGTTACCGATGGTATGATATTGTGTTTTCACTCAAAGAGTTAGCAATGAAATGATGGAGCCTAGCAAGACAGCATTTCCCTGCAGAGGTTTAAAAAGATAAAAGAAAAGCACAAAAAAAATTGGATGTCAAGAGGGATGAGATATGAGTTGGGCTCAGTAAACAATCACTGAAGCTATAGCTATAGCTGGCAAGGTGATGGATGTGTGAGTAAATGCTCCCAGCAGATGATGACGGTGTATAATAGTGTTTATCTCTGCTGACGCCCGGCGCAAAACTTTTATTCAGGCTGAAAAAGGACTAAGTAAACACTATTAGGATCTTTAATGCAGAACGCTGAACAGACAGCTCCTCTAGCTGTGAACTTTTCAGGCTTATCTTCATTATTATTATTAATATCTGCAGAAAAAAATGCCCAATCTCAAGACTTCCCCATGACTGTGTAGGTTGTAGCAAATCCTCTCTGTTTTAATCTTTTTTTTAGTTCTCATCTAATAATTAGGATTCAGTTGAATTTCTTATTTTCGTTGTATTAAAGCAAATATAATAAGCTCCTGGAATCTATCACTCTCTGTGTATTATACTTTATCTGTCACAATTTGGGAAATAAAACTAATTAAATATTTTTTTTTTATAATATTGGGATTTATTGAGATAAATTAAAGAAGTGAAAGTAGTTCCTCCTCATTTCTCCATCCACTTCACGCTGTGCACCAGTAAATATAATAACCAATACAGTATTGTGAGATTTGAACGCATCAGATTAAATCTTTGAATGAGTCTTCCTACTATTGGACCCAGACTGCTTAATCTTCACATCCTGTTTAGGCATATTTCATTTTATGAATTAAGTTGTTAAAATAGTTTAAATTTTGTTGGATATTTACATTCATGATGTTAATTAATAGATAATTTTGTCTCTTTTGGGAGTCCTTTTTTGTTAATTTTTTCATTTTCCTCTCTTTTTTTTATTCACAGATAAACCTAACGGGAAAAGAGTCGACAGCAGCAAACATCCCAGCGGATCTGACCTACGAGTCCTCCTGCCAGAGTCACACCAGCTTATCATCAAACCAGCAAGAGGGCCGACCGGGATCATCCCAGACTCAGATCAGCACTGGGGCCACCAGCACCACTGTGGATGACATTGATACTGATTCCTCCATTCCCTCCATTTCAGAGCAAAATTATTCAACCACCAGTCAGATCAGGAGTGCAAACTCCCCCGCCTGCATTAAAGGAGACACATATAGCATTGTGGGCTCGCTGAACCCAGGAGGGATGGGGGTGTGCATCAACGGGACTAATAGCAGTGGGCTGCAGCTGCTGAATATGGGAACACTGAAGGGGAAAGACAAGACTCCACAGAATCTGACCTCACCGGGGGGTCTGTTTGGCAACAACAAAGCCTCTATAACCGGAGCTCCAAACCCACAACCTCTTGGAATGGAAGAACTCCTCAGCATCCGCCTGGACCGGGTCACCTCTGATCTGTCACAGCCGCCCTACGACTCACTTCAGACTTATGAGTTTGAGGGTCGTGACTCCAGGGCGGGGTCGCTCAGTTCGCTGGAGAGCGACGGAGAGAAGGAGAACGAGAAGGTAGCAGGAGGGATGGATGAGCTCAATCAGAAGTTTCAAAGGCTGGTGGAGATCATCCGAGAAAGGCAGAAGGAGAAGAAGACACAGGTGCAGGAGGGCGGTGAGACTGCAGAGGCTGCTCATGCTGAGACTCAAAGACAAAGTGAGAACAAAGAAAAACAACAGCAGCGATGGGATTTCTAGACGCCAACACAAGAAAACAAGAGAGAGGAGAAAAATCTTGGATATACATGGAATTTAAACACAAGGGTGACAGAAAAAAGCCTGCCCCTGACACAAATGGGCTTTTGTTTCATCCCTGTCGTAATAAATGAAGGCAACTGGTGGTGAAGATCTGTGCAGCAATCAGATCAGTGTTGCTTTTCACTTTCACTCAATTCAGAAATGGGAATCCTTCACTTTTTACACTAACTACTAAAAACGCACACGGGGCTACAGCTGCAGTTAGTCATGAAAGCATGTTTTTTTTTTTTTTTTATAAAAACTGAATTGTTAGAAAAAAGCACCATCAGATAGTGGATAGGCGTTTGTGTCAGTCTCACATTTTAAGGCATTTAGATCTTTGAGGATGCATTAGGATAAAAACTGGAGAAACCACATGAGATTTGAGTGAAATGATCCGTACATTGCAAAAATATTCATATCTCTTTAACTTTTTCACCTTTCAGCAACAAACTTCAGTTCTTTAGACTTGATGTAATAGACTGACACAAAGCAGAGCAGAAGGCAAAGCAGAAGAAAAGAAATCCTCAGAGGTAATATTTGATACTAATTCAACCCAAACATAATTGTTAAATAGAAGAGATCAACATGTACCAGTTTTTTAAGGCTAATGCAGATTATTTTGAAATCATCTCACTCATCCCAGATACAAGATGCTGTTCATTTTGGGATGATTCTTCCTCCACTTCCTTGATTAAATGTAAAAATGATAACAATCCTCCACAAGATTCAGTTTAAGCAAAAAGAACAAACATTTAGTAAAAAAAAGCTAAACATTAAAAAGGATAGGAAATAGAGGGAGCGACCCTTCATGCAACTCATATAATCTTAAGGTGAGTTTATAAGAACTTTTTTGCACCCCATCAATATCTAACCCCAATTCAACCTTTTCACCAGTTAAACAAACATAACTGATAAACAATAAATCAAACATTGCTATAAAACAAAATAGAAAAAATGTAATCACTAAAACTACCATCACTTTAAGTGCAATTATTGAAGTTTAGCTGTTTGTTCTTCTGTGCAAAAGCATTGTTCAGTAAATAAACAAAAAAAAACTTTCTAACTGGGTTATTTACTTATTTAGTTTCACAGATAATTCGGATAGTTACAGAATCTTATTGCATTCAAGTAAAAAAAAATTGGTCTGTTTTTCTGAATTAACATGATTATGTAAAATAAATACGTTATTATTACTTTTATTAATAAAATAATAACGTTATACTTTTCTAAAATAAGATAAACTGTGCATATACCATGTGCAGTGCTCAGCGAGCTGGTATTTTCACAAAGACGACAAACTAATAGTGATCGCATCTCTCATAACCCAGACACAAGAGAATTTCCAAGTGTCTCAGTCTGAAAAAAGGAAAAATTAACTGAACTAAACAAATGGAACATGTTTAAGTTGCTCTGAAAAAAAAGGTAGCCTCGTGAGACCATCCTAATCTCGCGAGCTTTCAAGATTTCACTCGCTAATTAGTCTGGAGACTCTCCGTTGAAGAAAATTTGGAGCCGTTTACCAAACGAACATCCAATCAGCGTTGGCTTTGAGGCGGGTTGAGGTGTGACGCAACGAGAAGCGCGACAGTTCAGTCTAAAGAACATGGCGGCTTCAGCCGATGAAACTAGCGTTAGCGTGGCTATCGAGCAAGTTTTATCGGAATTACAGAGTATTTGTTCACTGAAAGAAGAGCAAAACACTGCTCTGGAGGCTTTTCTCAGAGGAAAAGATGTTTTTGCTCTTCTCCCGACTGGTTTTGGCAAGAGTAGCCTGGCTGTTAGTACGTCATATGCTTCGTTGATCTGATTGGTTTATTTGGCCCGTCTATCACCAACATAGGCCAATCAGCTAACCAGTATTTTCGCCCCTTCCCAAAATTACTTCTACAGAAGGTTTCCAGATGGATATGCGGAGCAAATCCATCTGGCGGAGTCAGGTTAAAAAAAAAGGTGCCTCTTGCTTTGAAATCTGCATTGCCAACAATAACAGAACATATCCAGTATGAAAGCACATCAGGAGCATCTCATTAATAAAAAAAAAATGATTTTGTTAATCCAGAGATTTTTAAATTTTTATTGATTTTAAATGATGTTAATTCAGAAAAACATTTTTTTTGTCTTTGTAAAAACATTAATTCATAAAAACAGACCAATTTCTTTTTTATCTCGATGAATGCAATACACTTTCCCGTAGCCAATGCAAGAAAACAAAACGATAATATCAGCCAAAAGCATTGTCCAGATGACATAAATGGGATTCATATGCCTGTAATTTAATTCCAGTGTGAATCAAGCTGTTCAGTAAAAGCTTTAGCTCTGAGTTTGTTACAGAACATACCAAACTAATGATGTGCATTTTTTTTATTCCAATTCACAGTAGTGCACTATTTTTATCAGTCGCCAACAAAAAAGGTTGAAGTTTGTGGCTGTAACATGAAAGAACTATAGAAAAGCTACAGGGGGTGGATACTTTTGTAAGGCTAATGATCCTTACCAACATCAGACATTAAATGTACAACTTGCTGCTCCAGAAAAAGCAATTTCCCAGTAAAAACAAACATATAAAAGTAACAAGCGTTCGGCCGAGCCAATAAGAGATACTCATGTGTTCATGTTAAAGAGTAGTAACCGGCATCCATATGTAGATAAACATCAAACTCAGCTGCTGTTGTTTTTAGATGAGAAGTTCAGTTTTTTTTTTAGCCCTGCATATTTAATAGACACCAGAGGAGGTAATGAAGTGTCTGATTTTTATTCATTAAATTGTTGCGACCATGCACTAAATGATGTTCACCCACACAAAAATTATTGAGAATCCCCCCATTGTTTTTCTGGAATTATCTTCAGAAGCTTCCTCACCTTCTCGTAAAGAGATTTACGCCGCACAGAACGCACAGGCATTGTTCTGGTGATGAGCCCGGGATGCAGGACACAAGAAAAATATTAATTTGCTCTCAGAATACTTGATGTTATTCACGCCTTTGACAGTGACTCATTTTTAAAGCAATTTCCAAACGCATTCATTATTTAGAAAGGTGCTGGAATAAGTTATTAGAACAATGACATTATCTTTCAGTAATATGATAAAAATGGATTTGGCTTCCTCCAATTATTCCCACTCTTCCTCCGCCGTGGGAATTCAGCTCTTAATCATCTGTAGGTCTAATAGGATTGGAAGCCTTTCAGACTAAATTTGACTGAACATTTTTGGCGCGTCTCTTTGTCACGATGCCACGGGCATCTTCAGAAATAATCCTTCAGATTGTGGATTACACAAGAAAATATGCCTGGAAATGACCATGTTAAGCTCACAAATCACAGGAACACATTGAATATCACACTGGACTAATTAAATATGTTAAAATATGGATCTCATCCCAATTTATCACCTCAACAAGCACCAGAGAAGCATTAAACACCAGAGTCATAAACACACTTAAATCAAATGTATAAAAAAGTGTTTTTTATTTATATTTAAGTGGAAGATTAGATTAATAAAGTTGGTGTTGTTTCAGCCGATATAAGCTGATAGAACAATGCTGCCACCTCGAGGTAAACGTAAAGAATACGCTTGTTGTGTTAAAACCTAATCCATGAGAAGGAAGGGATATCATGATGGATTAATCCCAAAAAATCCCTTCCATACGGTGCTTGCATTGTGGACTCTTGTATGGATGGAGGGCGGGTCAGAGGTTCTGAGGGCTCACAGCTTTTCTGGGTTTGTTGTGGATGTAAAAACAACAGTCTGTAAAGATTTTGTCACCACTTCAGCTCATAAAGCTTCATTTTGCTCTAAAAAAAAACTGGTGTGGTTTCTTCCAGCCTTTAGCAGCATTCAGAAATGTGTTTATATGCAGGGAAATGTGTTTTAAACAACTGTTGGAAAATGTCTTGGATATGAACATTTGTTCATATTTTCTGCTTTAACTGGCTGTTTCAGTGCCATCTATTTCATTTTACCTACAATTTAAAAACATAATGATAGTGTTAGGATTATTCAATTTGCTCTATGGCTCATTGCACATTGTAAACTGTGGTTTATGGACATTTTTTTAGAAAATAAGAACTTTTAAACACGAAATCGCATCAAATGTTTTAAAACAATTACAAAAAACACAAATCTTCACCCCATTAAATATCTGAAGAAAAATATGTTAAATGTATTACAGCCAAACATAGACTTTAAACATACTGTTGGGTTATTATGGATAGTGTTAGTGTAGAAATGTGCAAAAAAAAAAACTGCAAATTGTGCTTTTTGTGTGTTATGTGTTGGTGACATCACAAAAGGTGGAATAATGGAGCACACCTTTGCAGTAACTCAAGTAACGATGCCGTGCTAAACCTGGCAGGTCACAAGCAAACATTTCACTGTTGATTCTGAAGTATTTGAGTTGAAAAGCAGATCAGAAATCGAACTCCAACGACAAGCTGCCATGATGGGCTTAGCAATGGCTGGCAAAGCTGAAACAAAGATCCATAGTGAATGTTTTCAGAGTTTTAACGGGTACAAATGTGCTCATCTTCCTGTTTTAATTTTTTCATCTGATTGGTTTAGCGCCTATGCAATCAGTAAATGATATATTCTGATAGCTTAAAACACGGCTTTCAAACTCTGTTCATCGTGGGCTTGTGTACTGGTCCAGTGCACCTCAATAAAAGACTAAATTACTTCCTCAGCACCCTGTCTAGTCCTGATGAAGTCATAATTATTGGATTCAGGTTTATTGAAGCAGAAACAAATTGAAACATTACAGGCAAGAGGGCCTAAAAGACCGGAGTCTGAGATACTGCAGTTAAGCAAGTTTCTGTGATATTATCAACAAAAGTTCACTTATCTGCTGTGATAAGATTTGATTACGTTGTTAGTTTGTAGAAAAGTGAACACATATTTGGAGGAGTGAAAAGAAACTTTTCAGTCTAAGATTCAATTTATAAAACCTTTGAAAGTGCAGGTACATACCTTCTTTAAAGCAAAACTTACGCCAAATCAAAAACTGCACGTCCTTGTTTGCCTAACTGGAACGCACTGATGGATCAATGGTTCAGACAAAGAAGAAATCCAGTGCTATATCCAGTGTTAATCCAGTGTTATATATATATATATATATATATATATATATATATATATATATACACACTCACCGGCCACTTTATTAGGTACAGCTGTCCAACTGCTCGTTAACACTTAATTTTTAAGCAGCCAATCACATGGCGGCAACTCAGTGCCACTCCTTTCAGCTAAGAACAGGAAACTGAGGCTACAATTTGCACAAGCTCATCGAAATTGGACAATAGAAGATTGGAAAAACGTTGCCTGGTCTGATGAGTCTCGATTTCTGCTGCGACATTCGGATGGTAGGGTCAGAATTTGGCGTCTACAACATGAAAGCATGGCTCCATCCTGCCTTGTATCAACGGTTCAGGCTGGTGGTGGTGGTGTCATGGTGTGGGGAATATTTTCTTGGCACTCTTTGGGCCCCTTGGTACCAATTGAGCATCGTTGCAACGCCACAGCCTACCTGAGTATTGTTGCTGACCATGTCCATCCCTTTATGACCACAATGTACCCAACTTCTGATGGCTACTTTCAGCAGGATAATGCGCCATGTCATAAAGCTGGAATCATCTCAGACTGCTTTCTTGAACATGAAATTGAGTTCACTGTACTCAAATGGCCTCCACAGTCACCAGATCTCAATCCAATAGAGCATCTTTGGGATGTGGGTGAACGGGAGATTCGCATCATGGATGTGCAGCCGACAAATCTGCGGCAACTGTGTGATGCCATCATGTCAATATGGACCAAACTCCCTGAGGAATGCTTCCAGCACCTTGTTGAATCTATGCCACCAAGAATTGAGGCATTTAACCCATCCCTTTGGGAGCAGTGGGCAGCCATTGTACAGCACCCGGCGAGCAGTGTGGGGTAAGGGGTCTTACTCAGGGACCCAGAGTGTCAGTCTGTGGGAGTGGGGCTCAAACTCAGAACCTCAGGATTCCCAGCTCTTTGCCCTAACCACTAGGCCACCACTCCCCAACTGGTGTCAACCAGATTTCACTCAGATTTTTCTATGGAACTTTTAGCATCTATCTAGAAAGTGTTTGTCAGTTATGTCAACTCAAACCAGAGTAGCCTGTAGTTGGAGCACTGATGTGGTTATGCATCTAGTGGCCAATCCTCCAAAGAACATTCAAAATCAGGTGAAAATCAAAGACAGATCTATCATTTTGTGTTCTATTTTAATTATGATTTGACTGTTTGTGTAACTTCTTTGAAAAGAGATCCAGGACAGCATTAGTATGCCTATACATGGACAAGCTCACAGCGATGGTGTCTTTCTGCTACAGGTACAGTAGGTACAGTTCTGTAAAAATCAGAACTTACCCTTTAAATAGTCCCATGATTTCATGGTTTAGGGGCGCTGCATCCTGTCTCCCTCTCTTACTGCTGAGCAAAGAGATTCTCCTTCTCTCTGGTGCCGACTAAAATGATGGTTTAATTAGTCTTCTCATGATTTCACGTAGCTCAGT